CTTCTCTCCCTTGTTCCCTGGGAGCAGAGCCTGACCCCCCCCCAGCTCTCCCCTCCTGTCAGGGAGTTGCTGAGAGTGAGAAGGTCCTCCCCGAGCCTCCTTTTCTCCAGGTTGAGCCCCCCCAGCTCCCTCAGCTGCTCCTGCTCCTCCAGATCCTTCCCCAGCTCCTCAATGTCTCTCTTTCCAAAACAGACACCAGGACTGAGGTGCCTCAGCAGTGCCAGCCCAGGGCACTTCCCCCTGCCCTGGGTGATCCACCCCCTGCTCACAACGGGCAGCACTCAGAGCTGTTATATGAGGGAAAAGCTGCTTTTACAGCTTTTCTGCTTCAGGAGTTTTAACCTTCTAAGGGCTCCTCCATTCAGGTTTGTTGGGCTCTGGTGAAGCTTAATAGAGTCCCCTCAACAATTCCTCTATTTTTCTACCTCTTTGCCAGGTAACTACATCAGGAAGGAGGGGCAGGAAGCTGTGTGTCCACTCCAGGGGGGCTTTGGTAGGAGACACAGTAGAGCTCTGCAGCAACCATGACCTTAATCCTTTTCTAACCAAAGGAAATAGCATCTCTTCAGAGCATTCAGGAGATCTCCTTCATCCTGCTGAGTCAATTAGGAGGAGAGATGGGTGCTGGCAAGGCTGAATGCCTGAGCTGGATTTTCCCTCCCTTTCTGAAGCTGAAGTAGACTCTGGGAGGGGTTGAGCTGCAGGCTTGCTGCTCCCTCAGTCTGAAAAACAAGTGTCCCCTCTGGCTGTTCCCAGGGTTGGGGTTATTCTTTCTAATGCTGCCAGTCAGCATCCTATTGATGTGTTAAACGTGGCTGTGGGAAAAATATTGGTATAGGGGCTCTGGTTTTGTACTGATTGTGTTTTCCTCAGCCCCTGCCCTGAGCAGGGAGGACAGCCTGCATTCCTGCTTTAATCTGAAGTGCCCTGTGTGTTTCTCCCTCCTTCCTGAGCCGGATCTAATCCCAGCTCTGCAGGCACGTGCAGAGCTGACACATGCACGTCTCACAGGAGGATTTTTCTTTTATCAGTTGTGCTCTGGCCTTCCTGCATTACAGTCACATGCCAGAGGCACTTCCCCAGGAGATGAAAGCAAGGGCTCATTTCAGGAGCAGGAATTTTCCTGCAAGTCCTTCTGCTGAGCTGTCTGTGTGCTGGGCTGTGGTATTTAGGGAAGCACGTCTCCAACCCCATAACTCCCCTCCCTGCTTCCGTGGTCTTTTCTTTGTGACCATTAGTAGTAAAGAAGGAATGGTGCTTGGAATTTAGCAAGTACAGCACTGCTTTGGGAGGCTTTTGAAGTGTATTGAGCACAAGCTGGAGAGCAGTGCAGTGAGCAGCCCCTGGGGCAGCTGATGCCCAGAGCAGCCCATGCCTTGCCTGGCTCAGGTCAGGCTGGGGCAGTGGCAGGGTGAGAGCAGAGCCTGGCTCTGATTTCCAGCTCCTTCTCACACTGGTTGTGCCAGTTCTGCTCTCTCTGCAAAGGGCACTAATGGATCAGGCCTGTCCTGGGGAGTGATACACAGTGGAAAAGAGTTTCTGTTAATATACAGACTCTGCACTCCTTGGGCAAATCTTTGGGTTCTGGTGCAGATGATTTGAGAGCCATCTTGTGGGTCACTTGTCCTCGCTGCCAGGAGTCCTTGTCACTGTCCTGGGGCAGGCATCAATCCTGGCAGGGGAGATGCTCCATCCAACTGCACCTTCAGGCAGCATTGAGGTGAAGGACAGCTGTGTGTGCAGCTCCAGTGACACACAGTGTGTGCACCCCCTCTCTGGGATGCTCCTTCCTCCTGGCTAACAGGACTCTCCTGTCTAACAGGACTCTCCTGTCCTCCTTTCACCTGGAGTGAGTGGCATTCAGCTCCACGTCATTCAGGTAACTGGAGATTTTCCCTGTCCCTTCCTGGCACTGCTGTGTGTGTACAGCACTGGCACGAGGGATCTCCCTTTGTGCTCCTCTTGCCCAACACTTGTACTTTCACATGTTGCCCTAAACCAGGACAAGTCCCCTGTGAAATCAGGCCTGGTATTACAAGGAGTGCACGATCCCTGGTTTTTATTTCCCTGGTACTCTGGCTGTTAACACAGATCTAGCTCCTGGCTTCAGTTTGTTTTCCTCTTCAGTTGCAGCCTGAGAGCTGCCCAGCCCAGCTCCCTGGGATGCTCCAGCTCGCTGGCAGGGAGCAGGATGTGTGTCCCTGGCATGGCACACGGCTCCCTTGGCAGCCTGCCCGTGTTTGTGGAGCCGGGAGCTGCGGAGAAGTGGCCAAGAGAGAACCAACTGTGAGGAGTTGTTGGGAAGTTTTTGTGTTGCTTGGGTAAAGATGGCCTCAAGCTGTAGGGAGTGGGGGGGGAAAAACCCATTTATATCTTTCAGGAGGCCGGATGGTACGTGGAGAAATGGGGGGATTCAGGATTTAGTTTGCACAAATACATTCCCTCACAAATGTTCCTGCTCAGGGTGCTGGAGCTGGAAGAGAATCAGCTTTGTGGTTGTGTATAAATGAAACATAATTTAGTCTGGCAGCTTACAGGGTGTCCCTTTACAAGCAAGAAAAGTCCTTTGATGACCATCCTGCAGGTCGGTGCCGTGGGATCGATGTGTCTGCTGGAGATCTGTGGCTGTCACACATTTAGCTGGATATTGGCAGGGACCCTGTGGATGCACAGCATGGAGGGGCTGGCTTGCCAATATAAGTAATAATGATCTTTTGTTATGCATTCAAAGGCATCATGCAGCAAAGCAGGAACAAATCCAGTGATCACATCAAATCCCTCTTATTTTATGGACGTGTGAATTAGGAGAACCAGTTAAAGGGAGAGAATCCAATCTGGAGCTGGTCCTGGCCAGTTTAAAATTGTCCACCAAGCAGGAAATACTTGAAGGTATTTAACATGTCTTAAAAACCCCACATGATGTGGGCTGTCTCCAGGGAGCAGGTTGGTGGGGTGGGGTCTGTTCCTTGGTGGAACATCGGGGCTGAGGCAGCGGGAATTGCCAGGCAAGAGCAGCAGAGTGCAAAAAGAGAAGCCTGAAAACAGTGGCAGGATGAAAACATAATTCTGTTAACTCAGGGCATCTGATAAGAAAAAGCAGTAGGAGAAGAGGGGAAGGAAAATTTGGAGAGGGAAGGGAAATGAGCTGTTTTCTGCTCTTGGATTACACCAGCTCGGGCCTGTCATTGAAGTCATTTACACCAGGATAACCACGGACCTGTCCCAGAGCATTTCAGCAGCTGGAGGGGATTTATTTGGATGGAAAGAATGTGTTCAGCATAACTTGGCCAAATGACACCTATGGTGGACTTGGCAGCTGTCAGCAAGTATTTATAGGATGTAAACAGCAAGGGGGGAAGGAGGACGGAAATAGAGCAAACCAGGGACAGAAAAATGGGATGAAAACGGGAAAAGGAAGGTTTGTACTGCTGTATGGCTTAGATTGCACAACATCCATCCAGGTGGGGTGAACTAATCCAAATGCTTTGTGCTCTTTGGACAAAGCATTTGAAAGCAGAGGCTGTAATTTTGGGCTGCTCTGAAGGCAATGGGCCTCCAGTGCCAGTTCCTCTGTTTCTGTAATGCTTCTGTAGGATGAACAGGGATCCTTCTCCCATTAGGAGATAGAAAATCAGATTTGATCAGGTGTTTATAGGATCAGACCAAACATTCCACCTCTGCTCTCTCATTTCTGATGGGGGGTAGCAGTGATTGCTTCAGAAACGAGTATTTGCAGCAATTAGCAGCTTCTGAGCCTCCTGAACACCAGCCTGCACCTCCCATTTGTCTTCTTTAGTAGCCACTGACAGCCTGTACCTTTGATTCATCCTTTCCACATTTAAATCCATTTGTGATTTGACCTCTTCAGTATGTGGTAACAGTGGTTTCCCCAATTTGTGCTTTACATACACCTGTCTGTGAATTCTTTCCTTTGCATTAAAATCTCTGCCTGGTGATATCATTGCTGGCCCTGCATGTCTCCCATCAGTCAGGGTCCTCTCTAGTCAGTGATTTGAGTTTAGTTTGTTCTTATGTGAAGTCCTTCCCATATTCTGGTCATCTTTTGTGCTTCTCTCTGTCATTTTCTAGCTCTGCTCCTTCTTTTTTGGGTGAGAAGTCTGAGCTTGCTCGCTGTTTTCCAAATGCCGGTCCATCCTGGATGTTCTTATGTTTTCTGTTTTATTCTGGTCACTTTGATTTGCCACTTGAATTTGCACTGAACAGTAGGTTAATGTTTTCCAGAGAATATTCCCAGTGGTTCCCAAATCTGTGTGAGCAGAGCTGGATAAGGGTTTGTTGCTGTAGGGGCATTGCTGCTTCTGTTTTCCTCTTGTCCCATCTGAGGGTCATCTGTTGTTTATCACTTGATTCCATCATTGCTCTGAGTTGCTTCTGCACTTTTTGAAATCAAGGAATACATTTACTCTCCTGAAGGAATTCGTGTCATCCTCAATCATTGCCTCCTCATCTGCCCCTCTCCTGGGTCTGTGTGCAGACTAAACCTCTGCCCTCTCATGGCTGTTCATCTCTTCTTGCTCTTTGTTTTCATCTTCACATTGGTTATTAATCCATGCAGTGCCCCCTCCCATGATCCCAGGCTGGCTGAGTTTCTGAGAAGAGCCACTGGAAAAGAAATCTGTGGAAAGAGCTCTGAAATCCAGCCATTCCTGGCTGCTTTGGAAGGACCCCAGTAGATTTTGCTCCCTCAAAGCCACGTTGACTCTCCCCTCTCCTGTCCTGGCTTCATTCTTGGCTGCTTCATCTCACTGCCTTTCATACCCAAGCCAGGCTGTGTGGTTGTGTTCCCTCAGATCCTCAAGGAGTCTCTTTGAAGATTCCTGCATTCACAGTGTTTGTTCCTGGCACTGGGGCTTGTTTGGGAAGGGACTGCTGGTTCAGCCGGCGCATGCTCCGCTTCCTTAGGAGAACCATTCACGTCTTCAATCCTTTCAGTGGCTGCTTGTCTGATAATGGCTTTTTCCTTTCCTCCCTTGGCACAGGGGCTGCTCCCAGGTGGGTGTTATCAGGGCACTGATTGAAGCTGGCATCCCCGTGGACATGATTGGAGGGACGTCCATCGGCGCCTTCATGAGCGCCCTGTACGCCGAGGAGCGCAGCTACAACCAGATGAGGATCAAAGCCCGCCAGTGGGCCATGGTGAGCACGGAAATGGTGGAGGGAGAGCCCAGCACGGCCTTGGCAGCACCCAGGGAAGGTGAACCCAGCTGCATGTTGGTGTCTGTGCCACAGATTGAGCCCTTCCCAGCACCCTGGGAGAACTGCTCCCTGTCCGAGGGGGCAGGAGCTGAATGCCCCCCTCAGCTGTGCACAGATCCCACTCACACTGCCAGCACAGTGATGTTGTTTCAGGGTGTTCACCTGTGTTTATCTTTGTTTTACCTTCTCTTTTTATGTGCTGGAATGTTTCCTTTCCGACTCTCAACAAATGTGTTTCTCTCTTGTGTGATTCTCTCTCTCTCACATGCTGTCAGTTGTCAGTGGAACTGAGTGACAGAGGTAATCCTTCTCTAAACTAACTACAAACGTGTCATTCCTGGTCCTGCCTGCTCTTCACACTGCTGGGACTCTGGGCCAGGAGAAACTCTTAACTTTCAACATTTAATACCAAAAAAAATTATTTTCATATTTAACCCAAAGTTTGGGAAGGTTGTTTTAAATGGTGACTTCAGTGGGTGAGTTTATTTATCATGGAACCACAGACTGGTTTGGGTTGGAAGGGACCTTAAAGCTCATCTTGTTCCAACCCCCTGCCATGGGCAGGGACACCTTCCACTAGCCCAGGTTGCTCCAAGCCCCGTCCAACCTGGCCTTGTTTTTATTTATTGATAAGATGTTGGAGAAAAACTGTACTAGCAGCAGGTGAAACTGGTTCAGACTGACTGAAGGTGAAGGTGGGTGTTACTTCTGAGGTTTGCTGGTTACAAGTTTGTATGTTCATATCAAACCCACATTTTCCTGTAGGTTTTCTATTGAAAATGAAGTGACCTGGGGAATTTTGTGAGATTAAGCTCTGGGTCATCTTAGATCTTGGGGTTTAGGGGGAAATAGGAGCCTGTTGTTGGCACATGGACAGTGTTTACCTCTCCCACGTGTCTTCTAACCTGCCATGGCTTTGAGATGGAGTGTACTGTATCCTGGTAAGATCATAAAATCATAGAATGTTAAGGGGTTGGAATGGACCTTAAAGATCATCTTGATCCAACCCCCTGCCATGGGCAGGGACAGCTTCCACTAGCCCAGGTTGCTCCAAGCCCTGTCCAACCTGGCCTTGGGCACTTCCAGGGATGGGGCAGCCACAGCTTCTCTGGGCAACCTGTGCCAGGGCCTGCCCACCCTCACAGAAAAAAATTTCATCCTAATATCTAACCTAAATTCCCCTTCTTTCAATCTGTGCCCATCACTCCTTGTCCTATCACTACAGTCCCTGGCAAAGGGCCCCTCTCTGGCTTCCAACCTCCTTTGCAGGCTGGATAGTCTGGGGTACTAAATGCAGATTGAGGCCCTGACATGTTTGTGCTGTCCTGGTGGGCAGAGCACTGTGGGGCTCTGATCACCTCCCTGTCACTGTTTGCAAGAAGAATGTGGATTTTGTGCTTTTTATTTAAGAACTGCCTGTGCCTGGCTGGGTTGGGAAGCACCCAAAACATAAACTGTTTATGATCCAGAGCAGTTTGCTGGAATCACAAAGCTGGAGGAGGCTCAGGATTAAGCACATAAAACCAACTGCTCTGAGTTGTTTCAGACACCCCTTTAACCTTGCACTCTATTTCCCACATTGGTCACCACCAAGTGCTTACAGGGCAGTCCTGAGCAGGATGAGTGTGTGGTGGTACCTCCCTGCACTGTTTTTCCAGCCCCAGCACCCCATGGCTCACTGCCCTCTCTCCCAGCTCTAGGCTACAGCCATGGAATTTTCCTCTTTTCCAGAGTGCTCCCTTGTTGTTTATTACCTTGTCAGATCTCCTGTGCAGGAGGTGAGTCAGAACTGTTTCCTGGGCTTCCCAGGGCTGTGCTTCCATCCAAGCCAGCTTCATTTCCAGCACTGCAGCTCTGGACCCTGCCAGCCTAAGCTGGAATCACACTCACTTTGACCAGGAATAGTTAAGGATGAAATGAAGGCATTTAATCAGTTGATAGCTTTTGACCACAAGTTGCAAAGCTCAGAGAACGTTTCACAAAGGAAAAGGCAAGTTTTTCCCAGCCCTGGGTTGTTTAAGGTGTTGGTACCTTGAAATCTGCAAATAAGTAGGAGGAGGAGAGGTTGATGACCTCTGTTAGAGCAAACATTTCATCTTATTAATGAAGAATGGATTTTCCTGAGGTCTTTCATGAGTGTTCTGATAGATCCACATCCAACCCAGAAACTGTTCAAGGCTTTGAGAATGACAAAAGCAAAGCCTGCTCTGTTTGGGGCCCATCCCACTGGTAACAGCACTGTCCAGAGAATGGCTGTAAGTTAAAGAGCCATGAAACCCTCTCTCCAAGATCACAGTGGATGTTCAGAGTGGTTTGGGGGAATGTAAATCTTTTATCAGTGGCTGTTCTGAGTTATTGTCTCTCGTGTTGCAGCAGCTGTGGACTGAGCAAGGAAAGGGGCTCCTTTCCCTGAGCCCCAGCGCTGTGGGGAACAGCAGGGAGTTTGTTGGGGGTTCCTGGGAGATCCACCCAAAGGGACTGAGTGTGGGAGAGGTGACAAACCCATCAGATAACCCCCAAATTCCCAGTGTGCCAAAGCTGCAGGACCATTCCCGCTGTTCTCCAGAGCAGGACCACTGTGGGAGGTGGTGGCTGTGCAGGAGATGCTCTGAGAGCTCCTTTGTTCAGCCAACATTATACAGGAAGGCTTGAGCATTCCCTGCTCCAGAACCTGCTGATCCTGCTTCTCTGGAGCTGTCAGCTCGTGCTGGTGAAGGTTATTGCTGAGAGCTCTTTGTGCAGGTTCTTGCAGCCTGGCTTTTTCAGCCTGGGGGCAGTTTGGAAATGTCTTCATTGGGATGGATTAGTTAACTCTGATCTTTTTTTATTTATCTTTTAAATCCATCAAACTAAACGCTGGGTTTGTCCTGCAGTTATTTCTGGGTTTGGTATTTTTGGAAATTGGCATATCTCTAGTTGTGCACTTGGGGCTGGGAGAAGGGGTGTTTTTAATGGGATGTGTTTTCTGGACCAAATGAAGCAGCAAAGAAATAAATTACTCTTTTTTCCAAATACAGAGGGATATGAAAATTCCAAGTCAGACTAGTTACTATTTATTGCTTCTGTGTATCTTCTGTACCTCAATTTAACCAGCAAAGCAAACAAGCCAAAGCTTTCATGTTTGCAGATTGTTGGGTTTTTTAATTGGAGAATTAATATTTCAAAGTATAAATATTTCACAAAGAGTGGAATATTCTACTGTGGAAGGGAATGTGGTTATTATAGGAGTGTGGTTTCTATGGTTATAGAAAGCTAAAAGGCTTTCCATGATGGGAAGGAGGGGTGGCTGGGTGGGATGATGGGCTGTCTGATGTCTGCCACTGTTTGTGGTGGCACCGACAGCTCCAATAAACGTGGGGGATCTGAGGCAGCAGCCCTGAGGTTCTGCCTCTGACATTGCTCTAGTATTTGCACACTGGGAGATATTGTGGTTTAACGAGCTGCTCTGGCCAGAAATTAGTCCTTTTGGGAGTTTTTCCCTGTCGTGGTACTGCCCATCCAGCTCTGTGAGCTGCTGCAGAGGCAGCTGGGCTGGCCCAGGGGGGCAGAACCAGCAGCCTCAGCTGGGTCAGATCAATCTGCTAGATTGGATGCTGATACTCCTCATGGAATCACAGAACCATTGGAAAGGACCTGTAAGATCATTAAGTCCACCCACCACTGCCAAGGCCACCACTCAACCCTGCCCCCAAGTGCCACCTCCAGGGATGGGGACTCCACCTGGGCAGCTGTGCCAGGCCTGGACAACCCTTTCTGTGAAGAAACTTTCCCTGATGTTCAACCTGAACCTCCCCTGGCACAACTTGAGGCCGTTCCCTCTCCTCCTGTCCCTTGTTCCCTGGGAGCAGAGCCTGAAACCCCCCCGGCTCCCCCCTCCTGTCAGGGAGTTACAGAGCCAGAAGGTCCCCCCTGAGCCTCCTTTGCTCCAGGCTGAGCCCCCCCAGTTCCCTCCATCTGTTGTTTTGAGGAACAAGCTGTTCTCTGCCATCCTGGGTGATGCCCACACCCACAGCCCCTGTGGGGCCTGGTGCAGGGTGGGGATGGATTGGGAAGGTGGAGGAGCAGCGTGGGGCTCAGGAGCAGGGCTGGTGGGGAGGGTGGGACGCCCACAAATGGTCTCTTTGCTGAGGAGGATCATTAGGAGGTGCAGTGTTTCGTACATCACTTCTCATCCCACACTCTGATTTGGTTCCCGTGCCAGAATTTATGTACAACAACAGCTCCCAGCCCTGCAAACAAACCCAGGATCTGAGCTGAGCAGGGAAACGTTGCCAGGCTGGATGGGCACAAGGAATGGGCAGGATGGTGTGGGAAAGGCACCTCCTGAGCACAGATCAGCTGGGAACTGGTGCCAGTCCCTGGGTGAAGGAGTGTTGGGGGCTGTTCAGCACTGGGTCAGGCACAGCAGGAGGGAACAGGGGCTAAAGCAGCTTTAACACACCCAGTGAATCCAGAATAACTCAGAGGTTCGTTACAGGTCGTGTGTTAATTAACAGGCACATATTGTCTCTTCCCTGGGGTTGATGAGCTGCAGAGAACCTGCCTTGGGTGTCCCTGAGCTGCAGAGACCCTGCCCTGGGTGCAGCTGCTGGGGCTCGGGGACAGTGTCCCCCTGCCAGGGGCACAGCAGAGCTCTGGGACTTCGGAATTGCATCTTTAAAACCTCATGGAGCAGTTGGGAAGTTTGATTCCCCAGGCTGCTCTCCAGCCAGCAATTAGAGCAGGGCAGATTGCTTTTCCCTTGGCTCAGCCAGCTGGAGTGTTCCCTCTGCACAGGGAATTCTGCATTTCAGAGGATTAACCACAGAAGACAAAAAGTGCTGGGTGTGTTTTGTTAAATCTTAATTTTTATTTTTTTTTTTTTTTTATTAAGAGCTATAAGAAAAATCTTCTTTTATGTAGTGGCCTGGTTCATGTTTACCATTTAAGTTGTGTTATTTGGGGTGTTGAAGTTAACCCTAATTCAGAGTTGGAATTTGGGAAATTCCAGTAAAAGGCTGCCTGCAAAATCCCAAAATCCTGCCTGTTGCTTTGAAGTGGCCAGCTGAGGCCCCAAACCATCCTACTCTGACCCTGCAGTGATCACATCACTAATGATCATGCAAATGAGATGCTAATGAATATTAACCCTATTTAACAGAATGGCTAAATCTGATTTAAGCATACCCCTACCTCCTCATCCCTTTCTCACCTTTACCTGCCTCAGAGGTGCCTGTGGTGTCTTGGATTCATTCTAATTTTATTAAACTCTTAGATTTCTTAATAGTTTGCCTTTAAATCTGAACTCCCATGATCTGTAATTCCTGCCTTCAGGATAAATCTATCCCTGTAGTGCTGTTTACCTGAAACCGTTGCCCTGAGTTATGTTTTTATTTTGTCTTTAACGTTTTTCTGTGTGAATTCCTTTGCTTTTATCATTAAAACTTTATACAAGAACGCTGAGGAGGCACTAAAGGAAAACCTGGATGCTCTCTGGAGTAATTTAAAAAAAATATTGGAAATTTTTAAAATTGTTTTTAATTTTTTAAACTGTTTTAAATTTTTGGTCTTGCGACAGGTTTTCCCATACCTTTGCTTTTTTTTATAGACTCAGGAACACTAAAAAAATCCCAGGATTGTCTTGGGTTTTGACACCAGTTTACCATCAAAACCCAAAATAGCCAGAGATGAAAATTCCTCTTGTCCCTCATGCCATGTGTTTGCTGTGTGAGCAGAACCTTGTCCCTTCCTTGCTGAAGCTGCTTTAAACCCCAGGGTCGCTTTAATAAAAGGTTTTAGGGTTGAAGGTCTGTTTTAAAAGAAAGCTCACCTTGTAGCAGAGCTGTAGAAAAAAAATTTATGAGAATTTAATGAAAAATTAGGAAAAAACTCTTCCCTGTGAGGGTGGTGAGGCCCTGGCACAGGTTGCCCAGAGAAGCTGTGGCTGCCCCATCCCTGGAAGTGTCCAAGGCCAGGTTGGACGGGGCTTGGAGCAACCTGGGCTGGTGGAAGGTGTCCCTGCCCATGGCCCTTGAGCTCTTGGTAGGAAGTGGAGCAAGAACCAGGAGGCTCCATCTGCCTTTCCAGAGGGTGACCTTAAACTTGATTTATCTGGGAATAGGAGGTGGGAGCAGCTATTCTTGGAAGGCTGAGGGAGGCTGTTGGCCATCAGCATCAGCTGGAAGGGCATCTTCCAGCTGTGAGAATATTAAGGAATAACTGTTCATTAGAAGTATTTTGTTCATGGACAAGCTCACTGTGGGCATCAGTTGCAGGGGAAATGTAGAGGCTCAGCATCAGAAATATCATTTGCTGCAAAGAAAGTGGTTGGTGCTGAGTGGGAGAGGTTTTTCTTCAGTATTAAATAAAGGGCTTTTTGTAAATGCCTCTTCCCCTGATCTAATCATTGTGACTACTGTCAGAGACCTAAGCCCTATTTTAAGTACAGAAGTAATTCCATTTCACTCTGAAGCTGTGGGTAGCATGTCTGTACTCACCCCTTCAAACCCCAAATGAAGCTGTGAATGAAGCTGACTGTTCATAATTGGGTTTGTGCTCAGGCTTTTACATTCTCCCACATTTCCTGTTCATATACTTGTTTTTAAGGATCCTTTTTTTTTATACCTGGGCATGTATTCTCTGGGCAGATCCCCTATATATATATTTAAAAGCAGCTAATCCTGCTGCTCTTTAAATCACTGTTAGAGTGAAGCCAAGGCCAGATGTTGCTCACAGCTACTTTAACAGCAGGTTTGAGGCTGTTCCATGTTCTGTGCCTGGCTATGATTCCCTGCTCTCTGGGAAGTTGTTTGTTAAATTATAGAGAACATGTAGAGGGAGAAGATACTTCATCCAGTAGAAATATTTCGCCCAGTGAAACCCAATTTAATTGGGAAGGGATTAATTGGGGTTTTTTGTCATCTATTACATTTTAACTGTGATGCAATATATAAAGCAGTGAATTTTGTTAGGATTTATTAGGATTTGACACCAATACCCTGGTTATAGACAAATACAATGGTCAGAATGCCATAAAGGTCAGGGATTTTCATCCTTTTATCTAATAGGTTAGTGCACAGGTGTATTAATGCTGTTGAAATGGAGAAAAAAGAACCCCATGAAAGCTTAATTCCAATAGATGTGTGTTTAAAGAGACACAATGCCTGGTGTGTGCTGTAAAAGGGCTTTATAATGCCTTAAGAATCCTGATGGGGTTTGGTTTCTCTGGCTCGTGCAGAGGTATTGTAGCAGTATCCAAATGCTGAGTCCATCACATACATAACCAAATAACTCAGTTTGGAATGGCAGATTATCCACCCTGAGCCATGGAAGGTGTTCAAAGCTCTGTGACACGTGGCTGATTGAACACTGCTGCAGTCCCAAGGAAGCCCAGACACAATTTTCTAGGTGCTTAAACACTGAGGCAGAGAAAAGCTTCCAGACTGGGAGAAAAATGAGGTGTGACCCCAAATGAGAGGAGATGGACTAAGGGATGGATTCCTCTGCTGTGGATTTATGGTTTCCTTCCCACACTGCTGAACCAGCAGAAAGGATGGTGAAGAGGGAGATAACTCATAATATCTTCTTGTTGTTTAACAAATGATGAAGGATAAAGCTGCACCATCCATGTGCATGTGCAGAGGCTGAGCTGCTGCTTTGTGGATGGGCTGATTTTGGGGCACCAGGGAAGCAACACAATGCACATTTTCCCAGCTTTGTTGCAAACTGGCTGCTGAGGTTGCTGCTGCTCTTGGTTTTCCATTTCTGTACCACACAAGATGCTCCTGGTTGTGGTTTTTGCAGGTGTATTTCTGCCCCCTCTGCACCTTCTGCACTCACACTCGTGATGCTTCTGGCATGTTGGCTCTGAACTCTGGAATATGATGTCTCTGGAACTGCAGCCATTAATGCTCACATTCATATGGATTCTGGCCTATATTTACCTCTGAAATACCTTTTTTTTGTTGTTCATTTTTTAGGTTATGAACTCGGTGTTTAAGACTATTTTAGACCTGACCTATCCAATAACCTCTATGTTTTCTGGAGCAGCTTTTAACAACAGCATCAACAACATCTTCAAAGATAAGCAGATAGAGGTAGGTGCTTATTCACCTCATGTTTAGGGAATGATGTCACTGTGTTCTGTTGCAGCAGAAATAGCTTTTTTTCCATGTTAATAAGGAATCTGGGGCTGTGGGATGGCTAAAAATATGGTGGAAGTGTGAATGTGATGTTACATGACTATAGGAAGGAGCCTATTCTTTCTTTTTGGTGGATTTAGGAAGCACAAGTTGTAGATTATTTGTGGCCACTTCTGTTTGACAAAGGGATGCCATTGTCTGAGAGCACAAGTGACACTCGTGACACTTGTAGGAGAATTGCTGGACTGTTCCATCATTATTTTTCTGCAAATCAGGTCTTCAGAGACCTTCAGGGCACACCAGAGAAGGGCTTGAACTGGGTAGCATTGGGTTTGGCTTTTTTAAAAATTTTATTTTTGAAGCTGGAGTGAGTTTCTCTGAGCAGCCTGCTGAGAACTGCAGCAATGGCAGAGTGTGCTGTGTCCTGGTTTGCACTTGGTGACCTTTTTGCAGTTGCTGGGTGTTGACAGGTCCACCTGAGCCAACAGCCACCTTGGGAGCCCCACCTGTCCTTTGTCCCTCAGCAGCAGCAGATTGTGAAGCACATTATCCATGTTTGTCTTCCTAGATCACCCAGCTTAGGGAGTGTTTGGATAGCCTGGCAGTCTTACCTCATTTTCAATTTTAACCAAATTATTCCTGTGTTTGGAATCCTTGTGATGAAAGGTTATGTAGCAAATCAACACTGTGCAGACTTTAAATATATTTATTAAAAATAATCCAAAACATTCCCTACTGAAGTGGAAGTATGAAAGTAAGTGATTAATCATCACATGGCTGAAAATAGCAGTTTGTTGTGCAGAGGGGATGGTGCTGGAAACAAACAGGTTTGGGAGTGATAAGTCCTTCAGAGACTGGGATTATTTTTGTGGTGTTGTTTGGGCAGACCCAAAATCATGTGGGTCCCTTCCTGCAGTGCTCCAGCTCCTATCTTTGGTTCAGCAGTGCCTGGTGGAAAACATGCGATTGTCCAGGGACTGTCCAGCTCCTCTGCACTTGTTTGGATGTGGATTCCTGGCCTCAGGCAGAGCCCTCAGAGCTCCACTTCCCCTCTGGGTTCCCCTGGAGTGAGTTTGGGTGGGGCAGGGCAGGGTGGGGCTGGGGGATAACGCTGAGCAGAGCATTGAGGAGAGAGGGACAACATGGAAGAAAATCTCCTCTGAGCTCAGGTGTCCCTGCTCTGTGGAATCATGGAATTGTTTAGGTTGGAAAAGCCCTCTGAGATGGAGTCCAACCATTCCCCCTGCACTGCCATGGCCACCACTCAACCACATCCCCAAGTGCCACATCTGCACATGTTTGAACACTACCAGGGATGATGATTCCACCACAGCCTGTTCCAGTGCCTGACCACCCTTTCCATGAAGAAGTTTTTCCTGCTGTCCAACCTAAACCTTCCCTGGCACAGCTCAAGGCCATTTCTATCTATCACTGCTTGGATTCCAGCAGTCAGTTCATTGTACTTCCCTTTTAAGATGCAACAGGTTCCTTCCTTAGGAATTGTAGCACCTGTAGTTGCATGTTCTGTTCTACCCTTGCAGTCACAGGAAGGTTTTGTCCAAGAGAACACCAGTTCTGGGCCATCCAACAGCATCACCTCTGTGAGTCTGTGCTGGGCATCACCAGCAAACCCCCTCATGCCCAGAGGTTTCCTCCTGTGGGAACTTCCCTCAGATAAATAAGGACAAATGTTGTGTAGCTCAGCCAGGAAAAGGCAGTTATTCCTTCATTGCAATTCCCACTATCAGCACAGGATAACCAGTCCTGGCACTGGGCAGAAGAACTGGGAGCTGCCCAAGGGTAAAGGGTGACTGAGGAAGTCACAGGAGCTGCACTGGGAAACATGAAGCCCTGAGCAAATGTTTTGTCAAAGCACTATTTAAAGCATCCAAACTGCAGACATCCATCTTTTCTCACGAGTTGCAGTGGGTTTGGGTGGGTAGCAGTGATTTCCAGCTGGAAATAGGTATTAATAATATGAGTTAATTACAGCCTTACAAGCAGAGTGTGTGCTTGGAGGCTTATCCACAACTGCTCCTTCCCAGGAGGATCCACAGGGATTGTAGCAGCACCTGGGAACTTCCTCCCCGAGGGGCTGGGAGGGTACTGACCCTCCCTCTGTAAAAGCTGCAAATTAAGAAGCACTGGGCTGGATCCTGCTTTTTGCTGCCCATGGCTGTGAGGTGACACACACGTGTCTCCTCCCTCTTCTGCATCAGAGCCAGGAGCAGAAGCACTTACGTTGAGCTGTTATTTCTGACACTGAAAGGGAGGTTTCCATTTTCTCCCGAATTTGCCAACCCTTCCTTGCAATGTGGGTGTCTCTGAATTCCCAGCAGTGCTGCTTGTGGGGGAGCCCTGGTGACACCAACCCCATCACTGGTGCAGCAGCTGCCAGCCAGGGGTGCTCCCTGAGCAGGGATCAGGCTCTGCACGTCCTTCCGAGGGCACATGGAAACCCAGGACAGGGCACTGGGCACAGAAACCAAGGATAAGGGACTTGAAGGAAATTTCTCAAGAAATACAGTTATTTTCCTCTGAAACCATCCATCCTTTTTGGGAGAACACCAGGCTCTGGAATTTTTACTTGCCATGCCAGAATTTTTATCCAAATGCTGTTGTAAGCTGGAGGTTAATGTGTGAGGAACCAGACAAGGTTTTATTAAGTCCTGTTTCAGACCAGTGGAAGGATCCCTGAGCAATGCAATCTTTATTCCTGCTGGTAGGGCTTGGGTTCATTTCCTCTGGGCAGGTGTTTGAAAGGACGTGTCAGAGAGGCTTCTTTCCCCATTCCCCTCTTTTTACTTAAAACATGGTTGATACACTGGGATCTGCAATTACCAGAATATCTTCAGCATGGAGAGGCACCCTAATACTCCCATAGTCATACTTTATTCATCCTCCTTCCTCTGGCATTTACACCAGCTGGGTTGTGATACTGGTGCAGCATCTGTGAGTCCTCCCCAGCCCCACCATCTTTGCAGAGCTGCTGAAGAGATTAAACTCTCTAGAAATAAACCTGTTTTGTGGCAGTGCAGAATTTCAGATTGAACAGCACAGAAACTCACAGCAGGAGTTACAGCCTGACCAGTGAGGGAGGGCTTCCAGCTCCTACTGGCACTGGAGTCCAAACCCAGTTAACTGGAGTTTAAGACCCATCAAGGCTGTGCTACAGAAGGCCCAGACACTGTGCCCCAGGAACAAAGGCCAGCTGGGAAGGCAGATTTTCCTCTTCGGTGTTGTTTCAGCTTTGCTGATTGACAGAGCAGCATCAGCTGTTCTCTGGGATAAGCTCAGTTTACTCAGACAAGTCCTGCTCCTTCCCCTTCCCAGCTACCGTTTCACCAGACACCATGGAGACTTTCCAACACTGCCCTCCCTCCAGCAAACCCCTGTGCAGGGGGCAGGTCACCATTCCATTTGCTTTTTCCAGGATGTGAGTGCAGACATGGTTGAAAGAAGGAGACCTTCCCCTGCCAGGAGCAGGGCTGGCTGCTTTCATCTGGTCTTGCTGAATAAACTTACACAAAGCACTTGCTTGGCTTGGCCATTCTTTTTGCATCTCACCCTCCTTCTTCTGTTCCACACTCCTCTGCTGTGTTACCCTACAGGGTCTCATTCAACTTCTAGGATCTTCTTGGAGTTGTGCCTTGCAGGATCCTTTGTTCCTGCAGCTCATGCTCCAAAGGTTGGTGTTGCCAGCTTTGGGTCTGCATTTCCCGCTCAAATGCCCCCTGGCCCCATCACCAGGAGGTACAAATTGTTCAACCATGAGGCCATAAATCATGTTCTTCCCTCTTTGCCTTAGGCTGTGGAGTCTCAGGGACCAAGGCAGGGAAGATGCTGCCCAGGTTGGGGTTGGGGAAGTCAATATTCAGACACTGATCCATGGAGAACATGATCATGGGAGACTTGCTGGGAATGGGGGACAAACATCCCCTGAGTGGAACCAGTTGGTTGCAGTGCAGGGGCCACACTGGTGAGGTCAAAGATCTCTGCTGCTTAGTGCCATGTCCCCAGGGGAGGCCAAAAGCAGCAGGTGTTGTGACCTAGATAAGAACCAAACATCTAAAAGGTGAGTCTTCCTTCACCTTGTCCTCCAGCACCAAACACCCTCGGGGTCCCTTTGGATGGGAGTGGGGCCATCAAACCCCCACCCTTCCTGAGAGGAAAATAAAGACATCACACAGAAGGTGACCTCTGGTTTGAGTGAGGAGGCCTCTCTGTGCTGGACAGTCTGCTGGGACAAGGGCTTTTTCTACTTAAAAAAAAAGAGAAATAAGGATTTTTATCTGCCTTGGTTCTGAATGAAATGTCTCCATAAGAAACAAATGTGTGAACTCAGACACAGGGCTGAGGGGTGTTCCTCCCTCCATGCAGGTGTTTGCAGCTCTGTCTGGTAAGATCCAGAGGTTGTTGCTTTGGTTTGTGTCAGGCAGGGGGGGTAGGTAAGTGCAAGGTTTCAGATTTACTAAAATTGGGACCTCCTCTGTTGCAGGATCTGTGGATTCCTTACTTCACCATCACCACTGACATCACTGCCTCAGCCATGAGGGTCCACAGGGATGGTGAGTGTGCAGTTGACCCTTTCCAGGTCTTAAATTGTGATGTGAGGCTTCAGGGTCACTCCTTATGCCTGGAATTTTCCTCACCTTTAAATCTGTCTTTCCTTCTGTTTTTCCCTTCTCTGTTATTTGCTGAGCACCAAACTGGGGTTGTACACAGGTAACAAGGAAGAGAGCTGTGGGGAAGGCATTAAACAAGATGCTGAATTCACTGTTTGGGGAGAAAATGGACCCATTGGCACCATTCTGTTTCCTTAGATCATCCCTTGAAGTGCAGGTGTTTTAGCCACAAATCAGACTTAATGCAATCAAAACCTTTTAAGATTCAAATTCCACATTACAAAAAAAAAAAAAAGGCTGTTTTCCCCAAGAACAGATTTCTGTGCCTGAAGCAGAGGCTGGGTTAGGTTCTCATTTGTGGCCAGTCCTTATTTCTCTGGAGGAAAACTGATGTACTTCAGTGAGTGAGCAGGGAGAAACCTCCGAGCTGCTGACCTGGTGACATCCCTGTGGGACACTGGCTTTGGCTTTTGTCTATTTGGGGTGACAGGGCAGTGACTCAGACTCACTGAAGGCAGCACAGGCCTCCAGGTGCCCCAGATATTCCCTTGGGGAGCTGAAGCCTTTGCTGCCACGTCTCTGATGTTCTGTCCTTGGAGCTGGCTGGGGTAGGACTGTCCACTCCTGCTGTTCAGGAGCAGGAAGCCCCTGAAGGACATGGGGCTTTGGTCAGGGGCAACCAGGGCAGCTAAAACAAGCAGAAAAAGGATTAACTCCCTTTAGGGGCTTTGTATTCCCATTCCACAGCAGGTTAAGCAAATTGAGGTCAAGAAAGTCACTCCATCCAGCTGCTTGTCTCTCTGGAAGTTTAATATAAGGAGAGAAATCAGCTGGAGAATCTTTATGGTCATCTTCAGAATTCACTGAAGGGAGAGGAATTAAGTTGCCAGCTGCTGTCATTTCCCATCTTGGTTTGGTCTGTGAGGTGTAACACAAAAAGTCAGCATTTTTCTTAGGTGGAACTTCCAACTCAACTCAAACTATTTGTACTAAACCCCAAATCTGGCAGTGTTAACCTGTGCTAACAGTAGGAGTGCTGGGGTTATAATTAGAAACAGAACTGTGATCTGTTTGGAAAAGAAAAAATCAGTTCCCAGTTTGCTGGGAAGAGTTGCTGTTTGAAGCACCAGGCAGTTAATTACTGAGCACTGAGCCAACACTGCAAGGCTCACTTACTCTTGATGTTTTAAAGATTCACTTCTCAGACAAGGCCCCTTGGAAATGCAGTGTCTTCCCAATTCAGCTGATGCAAATATTAAGAGAAGAATCAATGTTTAAGAGCCTTAAAGTAGAATGTTTTAGAGGAAACAGATCCAATCCATTTCTGCTTGATTAAACTTTGTTTCTACCAGCTTAAAGGATGATAACTTAGTTCCTTACAGCACTGACAGAAGTGGTCCAAGAGGAGATCCCCACCAAGCACTTGCAGTGGTTTCACAAGTGAAAACATTTGCTTGTTACAGAGGAGGGAAGAGAGAATTTTTGGGCTTTTACAGCATGTATTTTTCATGTTCAGGTCCTGCTAAAAGTCTGTGGATCTCTGTAGAACTTAATGGCTTTAGCTGCACTTGTTCTGTGTGTCCCCTTGTCCCCAGGAGGAGCCTTTCCCTTCCCTTATCAGCCTCAGCCCCACAAAGCCCTGAAGATGATTCCTGCAGTCAGGCATATGCTGAGATCTCCTTGAAGGCAGTAAATATGAGGCATGGGCTTGAAACTCTGGGTTCTGGGGCTTTTACCTGATAGTGTGTTTGCATAATCTTGGTTTTTTCCTAGCCAGGATTTTGGTATAGAAAATAATAAACTGCTTTAATAAGTTCCTCACAGTGTTCTGAGGAAAGCCTCTGCCTCCTGATTATTTTAATGAGTGCACAATCCTCCCCCCACTGTGGCAGTAACTCGTGCTGGGTCATTAATGCTGGTTCCACCCCTCCCTCCCATCCTGCAGGCTCCCTGTGGAGGTATGTCCGTGCCAGCATGTCTCTCTCGGGGTACATGCCCCCCCTGTGTGACCCCAAGGATGGGCATCTCCTCATGGATGGAGGCTACATCAACAACCTTCCAGGTAGGACCACGGCTCAGCTGGGAACAAGTTCCCAGGACAGCCCATCAAACAGCTTGCAAACCTTGGCCCCTTTTTTCCTCCATATTTTCCCCTCAAAAGGAAATGTGGTGGTTTGAGACCCCCAAATATGGAGAAATCTCACAGACCTTTAATGTCATGCTCCATAACCTGCAGTCCTTGTTCTCAGTTTCCTGGGTGTTTCCTTTATCATGGCTTTATTAACACTTATTTTTTGTTATGAAGTATTTCCTAGCAGCCATACTCTGAACAGACAATTCCCAGCTCATTTTGAATTATTTTTGTGCTTGCTGAAAGAAGAGAATCAAACCACAAACACACAGTCTATCTTGGAGTTTCTCTTCAAAAAATATCAGTTAATTAAGAAATAATCCTGAGAAAGCAGCAGTATTGTTGTTCAGGTGTCACCCAGAGCACGTGGCAGTGGGGGAATCACGGGGTGATCACAGGAGGGATGTGGAGTGTGGGGCGTTCTGAGGCCTGAACCCAAAAAGGATCTCAGGGTGTGAATCCCCTGGTGTGTGTTTGGGATGTGTTTTGTGTCAGGTTGTCATCACAGGCAGGCAGCACTGAGGGGTGGGTGGCTCAGAAAGGTGGCCAAGGCAGCAGAGCTCCGTGGTGTCACTGCAGTTTGTGACTGTGCCTGTGCACAGATAAAGGGGGAGGAATCTCAGTCAGAGACTCCCAGACAAACCCAGGCTATATTTTTCCATCAGGGCTATATTTGCCTGAAAAAAACAGAATTGGAAATGACACAAAGTAGATCCCCCAAATCAGCATCTGCCATTCTGTTTGTGTCTGTAAGCAGAGGTGTGAACTGCAGACCAAAGCAGCTTTTCCACCTCCACAGCTGGAGAGGGCAAAGAGCAAACACCCAGGTGACACTGGGGGAAGGCACACAACAGACTGAACGAGCCCGGGAATATAAATCCAAGTTGGAGAACAGATCAGGTTTAAAGAAGTGTCTAAATAAAGCATCTAAATTGGCTCTTCAAAGCTGTAGTTTTCCTACGCAGAACTATTCTGGAAACTGCAACTATCTTGGACTCTGGGGGTGTGGAAGAAATATAAATTCATTCTGTGAGGTTCATGTCCTTCTCTTCCCTCCCTCAGCACTTCCCTAAATCCTCGCCCGTATCCAATGACTACAACTAGTCTTTTTACTGACCTTGAAGTAGGAAGTGTTGCCTCATTTCTCTCCCACTTTGAAATGTGAACCTTTCTCTTGGATGCCACAGCCTTTCTCAGACTGGCATCCTCCCAGCCCCTCCTGGCTGGCAGGTCCCTGTGCTGCTCCTTCCCTTTGTCACCCTCTCTCTGAGGGCTGACCTGGCCCTGCTCACTCCCCTCTGTAAGGCCACTGCCACTTGCTCTCTCTGCAGGTCCCCCAGGTCTTTTGTCCTTGTGAGAATGAGTAGAATGAGGTAGAATTAGTGAGGGTTTAATGAGCTCTTTCCCATTATACCTTAATGTGGTGTAACTGGACTTGTGCTGTGTGTCCCACCTCCTGTCTCCTGCTCCCTCTGTACAGTTTGGCTGCTGCTTCACACGGGTTCTGGTGACAGCAGGGCCACTAATCCAGGCCAGAACATACCCTGTGGATGATTTCAGCAGCAGTTCAGCAATGGGAACTCACCCTAAGGTCATGTAGGGGCCTGGTCAGGATGCTGGGATCGCTCCCATAAAAAGGAGTGGGTGGGTTGGGAATCTCCCTGAGCAGGAATGGTCTCAGCAGAGTTGCTGCAAGTCATAGAATCACAGAATATGTTGAGTTGGAAGGGACCCATCAGGATCATTGAGCCCAGCACGTTTATATGGAAGCACAGAGTCATTTAGGTTGGAAAAGCCCTCCAAGATCATCGAGTCCAGCTGCTGCCCCAACACTGCCAAGGCCACCACTAACCCTTGTCCCCAAGTGCCACATCCACAAGTCTTTTAGATCCCCCCAGGGATGGGGACTCCACCACTTCTATCTCAGGCTGTTCAGAGACATTTGTGGTAGGTGCACTATCAGGTTATATACTCGAGCCATATACATATATATCTACATATATTTATATAAGAGCAGCAGCAGGACTGGCAGCAGTGGCTCTGACACCTCCTCAGGTTATATATTTGTGCCATTTACATACATACATATATACATATATATGACAGAATATACTGGGTGGGAAGGGACCCACAAGGATCAGTGAGTCCAGCTCCTGGCCCTGCAAAGGCCCATCCCCAAGGGTCACACCCTGTGCCCCAGAGGATCATCCAAACTCTCCTGGAGCTCTGGCAGCCTTGGTGCTGTGCCCACTGCCCTGGGGAGCCTGGTCAGTGCCCAACCACCCTCTGGGGGAAGAACCTTTTCCTGAGATCCAACCTGAGCCTGCCCTGGCACAGCTCCAGCCATTCCCTGGGTGCTGTCACTGGTCCCCCCAGAGCAGAGCTCAATTCCTGCCCCTGCTCTGCCCCTCCCCAGGAAGCTGGAACTGCCCTGAGCTCTGCCCTCAGTCTCCTCCAGCTGAACACCCCAAGTGCCCTCAGCAGCAGCAGGGCTGGCAGTGGTGGCTCTGACACCCCTCAGGTTCTACACTGGAGCCATGGCCATACCCAGCTATGTACCCATGTACACGAGGGCACAGCTCTGTGTCTGACACCCCCTGTGCCCCCAGCCGACGTCGCCAGGTCCATGGGGGCCAAGGTGGTGATCGCCATCGACGTGGGCAGCCGCGACGAGACCGACCTGACCAACTACGGCGACTGCCTGTCCGGGTGGTGGCTGCTCTGGAAGAGGTGGAACCCACTGGCTGAGAAAGTCAAGGTACCGTGGAAGCTTCCCCTTGTTCCTTCAGGGTGACAGACTGTCATCTCTTTGGGTTTGGGCTCTCCTTCGTGGGTGAGGAGAGCTGGGCAGTGACACCAAAGGGAAGGCACTGGTGTGGGAAGGGGCTGGGAGAATTGTCAGAGCAAAGAGCCCTGTCCTTAGAGGTGCATTAGTTATGATAAAATGAGAATTTATTAAGTAGTAAATTTCTCCAGTTCAGTGTTTCTATCCTGTGTGTCTCTGAACTGCTTATTTTAGCAGTAGGCAGTAATTAAGTACAGCTGATAAATGTGGGGCTGCAGAACATGATTTTATCATTATTATGTATCTCTTGTTGCATATGGTTAGGCCAACTCTGTGCCTTTTTCTGCATTTCCTAAATTACCTGGCTCAGCAGCTTTCCCCAAGTGAATACTGTCTTCTCTTCTTCCCTCCCAACTGCATTCCCCAGTTGGAACTAGAACTGAAGTACTTGCTTGTGCTTCCCAAAGTTGGAGAAAATACTGCAAACTGTGGGTACTGCTCTGCAATCTGAAGTTTTCCTCTGTGATAACTCACTTCCCTGAGAAGATTTGGTCTCCCTGTGGGAGCTGGTGTGGGTGTGCAGTGCCCTGGGCCTTGGCAGAGGTAACCCTGCTGCTCCCAGTGTGTAATGGGAGTGTTTGGTGGTGGAAAATGGAAGGCCCTGACCCTTCTCAGTAGAACCCAGTGAAACATTCCAGCTGCCCAAATGGCACCCATACAAATATGGGAATCCTTCTGAACACCAGAAAACACTTCTTTCTGGTAGTGGCAAAACATTGGCCAACCAGAGAAATTGGGGAGTGTCCATCTGTAGGGATAGTCAAAACTCAGCTGGACATGGTTTTGGACACCCTGCCCCAGCTGCTCCTGCCTGAGCAGGAGGGTTGGACTGGATCATCCCTCTTCACCTCAGCCATTCTGCAAAACCTCTGCCCTGGCGCTGGAGGGGTCAGAGAATCATGGAATCACAGAATGGTTTGAGTTGGAAGGGACCTTAAAGATCATCTTGTTCCACCCCCTGCCATGGGCAGGGACACATTCCACCAGACCAGGTTGATCCAACCTGGCCTTGGACACTTCTAGGGCTGGGGCATCACTGATTTCTGCCTTGAAGCATCACTGTGCCCCTCTCACCCCAGCACAGATCTCCCTCCCGAGCTACCCTGGAATGAAAGACTCAGTTCAACCTTGAACTGCAGCAATTCTGAAGGCAATTCCCTCCGTGCTGTTGATAATGGAGACTCACTGTCTGCCTGCCCACACTGCCCGGGGAACAGATGGAGGTGCTGATGTGTGAAGGCCTCGCTGTGATAACCCGCTCGCTCTCCGCTGGGAGCACAGACCATAGTCCTCAGTTCCTCATGACTGGTGTGTCTGGTGTGCAGGTGCTGAACATGGCCGAGATCCAGACGCGCCTGGCGTACGTGTGCTGCGTGAGGCAGCTGGAGATGGTGAAGAACAGCGACTACTGCGAGTACATCCGGCCCCCCATCGACCGCTACGGCACCCTGGACTTCGGCAAGTTCGACGAGATCTGTGTGAGTGCCCCCCTGCCCCTGCTCCACACGGACCTGCTGCTAATTACTGCCAGGGCTGGGGGAGAGCAGTTGGCACAGAGTGAATAATTGACACCGAATAATGCTGTGGGATGATATCCCGGCCGGGGGATTGGATTAGCGGCACAAATTGAGTTTGCGATCTCGATTATGTAATGACCTGTGAAGGGATCAGTTGCCTCGCTCTGTTCCGTGGCAATTCCTGCTCAGCTGCTCGGGGAAAAGCTCTTGGGTGTCTGGGCTTGGGGTTTTCTGAGCTGCTCCGGGCTCTTGGGGTTTGTCTCCCCTTGTTGTTGCGTGAAGGATTCACAGAAGCCTCTTGGGGAGGCCATGAATCCCAGAAATTGGGGGAAGTGTGAAAATACCTGGCTCTGTTAAACATTTCAACACTTCTGCTAATAAAACATCATCCACAATTCCTCTGCACCCGACAGAGGGTCAGGAGATGGCACCAATGTCAGTGATTGTTGTGAAAAAGGTGCCACCAGGTTGTGCAGCGCTGGGATGGGGTTGTGTTTGTTTGAGTGTCAGAACCTAGCGTGGGCAGAGCTGACTCCAGGTGTGCAGGGAATTGTCTTGGTGACAGAATCCAACAATCCCAACAGAAATGTCCCTGCCCAGGTGGAAGCAGTGATTCTGGCTCTGTGTGGAAGGGATTTTACTGTCTCTTCCCATTCTTTGCCTGCTTTAACCATGCAGGCATCTTCCACCTCCAGGGGTATCTGCAGAGCTTTGCTCTTCTCCCAGGCTGGAAACCCACCACTTCTTCTTTCAGTCAATCTCCTCTATAGCTTAGTGAGAAGCTGGGATGTTCCTTAGGCTGCAGATTGATTTTTCTGGCTTATAAACACTGATCAAACCCAGGAACACAGTTTAGCCCTGCAGACTCACATTTGGGAGAGTCCTAAGGACACACAGCAGCTGTTCCAAACCACCAGCTGATTTCCCCACTACAAATATTTTCTCTAGGCTATTTGATGTCTCTTGGCTCCTGGGCAAACACTGCTGGCTGCCAATGGCTCTAAGACTTTGCTGATAAATAATGTTCTTTGCTCTGGAGTGCCCTGGCTGATCTGAAAACCCTGACAGACAGGTCTGGTAGTTCATCACAGTAACACATCGTGAGCTGTCACATCCCTGTTCTGTCTAATGTGGTGGTGTTAAAGAGATGTAAAGACAGCAGGCAAATGTAGTCAGTGGAATAAAACTTGAAAAAGTGCAGTAACTCAAATATGTCACTGTCTGTGAGCCAGTTCTTGGCACCAGACACCGCAGGGATGGAGGGGCAGCACCCTCCTGGCTCCTGGAGCTAAATAACTTCTGTCCACAAGGGAACTTTGAACTGTCCTCACCTTAAAGGAAGGGACAATCCAGGCATTCCTTCATCCTTATGGGCTGGGAAGTAGGGGGAGTTTTAATTTCAGCCTTGTGCCTGGATTTTACAGAAAACAGAAATAGGACCATGGTTTAGTTCCAAGGAACTAAATCCCCTCTTCTTGTCAAACCCCTCTCCTGTGTCAGCCCCAAGCTCAGCTTCTCGTGGTTATTTTGGATCAGGCTGACCCAGAGCTCTCAGGTCCTTCTTCTCCTGAGTAATCACACCCACTCTGGGCTGGGAAGCTGGGATGGATTACAGGAGGTGAATTCCACCCTGAGTGCCACTCATGCTTTGAACCCTCATCCAAAAACCAGAGGAGAGACAACACCAGCTCAGCCAGGGCTGCTTCCCACACTCAGAGCTGCCACACAAGGGTTAGTGCTGCTGCCAGGAGTTGGGATCCAGGGCTCCCAAAAGGTGTTGCTCTGTCCTTTCCATTTGATTTTTCAACACCATTTCTGCTGCTTTTTGAGAAAAAGAGTAAAACTTGCAGTCTTCCAGTTGTTTCCCTGCTAATGGCAGTGCCATGTTATTATTCCAAGCACAAATTACTTTATACTTTTACACAAGAGGAACATGGAGTGTGTGGGTTTGGTGGTGTCCACCTGCCATCCTTTCTGCTCCAGCAAACTGCTCCAGCATGTTCAGTGCTGCCTGGCTTAACTTATTTCAAGAGATTTTGGAACCAGGGCTCTATGGGAGCTTTTCTTTGCAGGGAAATTTTTTTTTTCCTTGGCTCTTCTTGAGCCAAGAGGAAAGAAGACACATGTATATGAGTTGTTACCTTCTTCCAAAGAAAGAGCCAGGACTGGAAGGGCATATTCAGTATCCTAAGCTCCTCTTTCTGTGGCATTATTCAGTGCTGTCAAAATAGTGCATCAGGTGGCACTTTTCCCTGGATACTGAAGTTGGTGTTTGGACTTAAAATAGAACCTTGTTTCCTTCATTATTCCCCCAGTTTTAGGCTGGAGAGTTTATGTAGCTGAGGCTGGAAGGCAGCAGAAGTCATCCTGGCTTTGGGCTAGAGCTCTGGATTCCCTACTATTTGCACATGATAACATATATAGATTTTTTTTTTTAGTTATTAATTACTTTTTCTCTGTTGACTCTTTCTTTTTTCCAGGAAGTGGGATATCAGCATGGGAAAACTGTATTTAATGTCTGGTGCAGGAGTGGAGTCCTTGACAAGATGCTAAAGGACAGGCAAGAGATCTGCAAGTCCAAAACTGATGTAAGTGCTCAGTGAAAGGCACTATTCTGCAAGAGCTGCTTGAGTGTTCTTCACTAGTCCTGCAAGGGACTGCTCAGGGCTGGGAGAGGGAATGGTGACTGCCCTGAGTCCTCTCTATGAGCTCACAGCTATCAGTGAAAGCTGGATTTTGGGCAAGCAGGGGTGGGGTCAGTTCTTCAGAAATGTCTTTCCTTGAATCACACCCTGCACTTCTCTGCCCATCAGTACCACTTTGGCCAAGGTGTGTTCTGCCAGAGCCTGAGCCCTGACACTGCCTGTCCATCCTGATTCCTGAAGTGTGCCCATGCAGAGACCCATCCATGTCCTCAGGTGGGGGCTCTGAAAGCCCCAGAGGTGCTGCAGTGCTCTGGAGGGCAGCTCTCCTGTTGCTGTCTTGTTCTAGCAGGTCTTTGATATCATGTTTGTAACCTGGAATTGGTCATACATGTCCTTGAAGGGCATCCTCAGTGATCCTCGTGGGTCCCTTCCAGCTCAGGGTATTCCATGGTTCTGTGGGGGAAGGCAGGATTTCACCAGGAACCTGCATTTTCCAAGGCACATAACTGAAGTTTCTGTGTTTCAGTGCCCACCATTCCCTTCTCCTTCCCCCTGTGCATCAGCAGCCGTGAGGGCACCAAGAGCTGCTGGCTGAGCTGCTCCTGGAGCAGAGGCTGTGCCTGTGCCCTGCAGCTCCCAGGAGATGTCTGTGGGTTCAGGTGAGGGCCACACTGGTACCCATGTGCATCTGGACTCCCTCCCTGAGCAACACTGGGCAGCCACAAGTAACCTTTTGAGAGTTATTTTTCATTTATTCTTGTGCCACAAGCTTGAGGTGGTACCTGGATATTGTTCTTGCTACTAGAAACTTGTGTGCCAGGGATGTGTCTCTCTCCCAGAGGATGTGAATCAGGATGGCTGGCATTGATCTCAGCCACTGCTGGCTCTCAGGATGTGACTCAAATAATTCTCAGGTGCTTTCAGAAAACTTGATTTAAACCCTCGCTGGAGATGTGTCTTTAGCCAAGAGTTAAAATCCCTGCAGGGCTGCAGCTTTCTTGATTTGTTGCTTTTCTTCCTCACTGCTCTGCTCCAAAGGCATTTTGTGGAGCCCTCACTGAGGCTCCAGGAGGTCTGTGGAGCTGTGGAGGTCCCGGGTGTCACACACCTCGTCCTGCCCAGTCCGACTCTTCCCAGCAGTTGCTGTAAATTCCAGGTGATGGTAAATCCACAGGCTGTGGTGTTGCTGTGTGGTTATAGATGTCTGCTCACAAGTAGATAAAAATCTCTTGGTGTAATGCTTAAGGGCTGAGCTCAGCCTCGAGTTGGTTCATAGCAGCCTGACTGGGCTGGGGAAGTTCCAGTTGCTTTTAAGAAACAATTATCACTTTTTTGAGGAATTGGGTAGTATATTATAATATACAGGCTCACTATCCTTCCCCTCCTTTGAATCCCTCTGATTTGAAACCCAAGTGCTACAAAGACTTCATGTTTTACCCAGTGATTCTTCTTTATTGTCTTTTAGAGAGAGAGAGGGAAGCGAGCAGTAATATTTTAAGTGATGGCCCAAATGAATCATAACTGTAGGGAGCCTCTCTGGGAAAAGTCAGTTGAGGTGAACAGTGACAGAGAGGATTTGCAGCTCTCCAGAGGTGGGTGGTAGAGCACTTTGGCTCGGAGGGAGGTGTGAGAGGAAGGGCAGGGGTGGACATGGGCCCAGAGCTGGGGGGGGCTCATGCCCACAGTGGTGCCCTCAGAGCCCCGTGTGCCAGCAGAGGGGAGAGCTGGGGCTGTGAGTCACTGAGGGAATGGAAATGGAAATGCTGGGAGGAGATGAAAGGTGCCCTCAGCTCTGGTCGTGTGAGGGGACTCGCACTGGTGACTTCCCAGCATCAGACGAATCCTGCCCGAGCTGCCTGGCAGGGTGAGCAGCTCTGGGAGGAGCACTCAGGGACAGTTTGGGGAATGTATCCGGTGATCCACGGAGCCTGAGGAGCCCCAAAACTCCTCAGCTTGTCATTTCTTGCTGGGAAGATGAATACCATTCCCAAACCAGGACAGAAGATAACCTGGGTGAGGAGGTGCATTCATGTGAGCTGCAGGAGATGGGCCCCCAGTCTGCCTCTGACACCTCATGATCAGATGGGATGGGCTGGTGTTGGGTTTGTGTGTTAACTAAGGAGAAGTCAAGGCAGGGAAAATTGTGTGTGTGTCTCAGAAATAGCTGTGTCCTACTTCAGCCTCACTTTTATCACAATTAGTAACAAGCTCAAACATATTCATTGCTGTAACAAACGCTTCTTGAAAACAAGACTGCTTTTAAAGTTGCCCTTTAGATGGGATCCAGTAATTGAGGGGAATATTTCAGCTGAATTGTGGTGTCAGAGCTGTGCAGGCAGCAGCAGGTTGAACATTTAGCACATCTACCCTGGGTTTTGTGGCACTTCACTACCCTGGAGATCAGATATGTCACATCCTTGGTGCAGACACAGGCTGTCACTGCACTTGATAATGAGGCAGCAAGTGCTGAGAAGCCGAGTATGGAAATAACAGGGCCAGGAGAGTGACTCACCAAACCCCCGGGTCACGGGGCAGGAGCTGGGACTCCAGTCCAGGCTGTGCTCCAGGGACCTGAGGGATCATCTGCTTGTCCTCAAAGTCCAGTAAAAACCAAGACTATTTTTCATCTGACTTTTGTTCCCCTAGATTTATTTCTACAAAGTAACAGGTATTGCAGCTCCCACTGGGGTGTTTGTCTTGCTTTTCTTAGTCCATTAGAGTCACTTAAGTCCTTTAGCTCTGTTATCTTCCAGGGATAACAGCTGATATTTTTAACTTGGCTTTGATTAGTGAAGGTTTTGATGCTTTATGTGTTTTAGCTCTTCATCTATTTCTGGAGTGTTCAACATCTGAGAGCCAAGTGCCATTTCTTATCGTCTTGTTTCCGTGTCGTAAGCATCGAATTTTTAGTTAAAAATCCAGATATTTAATCATTTAGATACTTCTCCTTTGCTTTGATCATTCAGCCCCTGTTTATCTTGTCTCCAAAATGCAAATACTGAAGACATAAACAACAGGAACCTTATATAAACCTCACTTTGAGCAGCCCTTACTCTTCCCCAGCACAGAATATTGCAGTGCCATTAATTGGATCTCCTTGGGGAAGTTTTGTCTACTGAGGTGTTATTCATAATCAAAGCTAAATATAATCCAGCGGACTACAATAGTAACTGTCTTTCTCCTCTAATTTATTTCCTAAAGATTGAGCCAAAGAGCATACTTTCCTCCTTGGAAAAAAAGGAATATCAGAAAAGTTTGGGAGTAGAGTAGATTTCAGGTGGATCTGAGACACTTCTTTGCTTTGTGCTATCTGATGGGAGGGTGGCTTTGTCCTTAAAAGTAGTGAGAGGAAGCACTTAAACATTACATTCCTGTTTGTAAAGCATCAGACAAGTGTGGGAAGACACCTGGTTCCCACAAGTGGTTTTCCAGTCCTAGTGCTGAGGTTTGGGTGCAGCTGCCTCCCCAAGTGTCCTCTAACAGGCCGACCTTGGGACCATCTGTGGGTCAGTGACAGGGACAGATGCTCCCGTGGGTTTGGCCACACTTCATTCCTGTCAGTCCTCACCTCAGGAGCTGCTGGTTTTCCTGAGGCACCTTTTGGTGATGTTCCTACAGGGTTTTGTTCAGCTGTTCATAACGTGCCCTGGACTTTTGTCCCATCCAGAGCCAGTCCCTGTCTGCTCCCTGCTCCCAGGGACACGCTGCCCAAGTGCTCTGTGCAACCACCTTGTCCCCTTGGATCTGAGAGTCCAGGGATGGCCTCGGACATCGCTGGGTCTGTGTGGTGGCCAGAGGGTGCCCATGTCCCTCACTCACAGAATCATTTAGTCATATGGCACAGACTGAAGATGTAGGAGCTCTTCTCCCCTGTCCTGGGAAAGAGCCTTCTGCAAATGCTTCCCTGGGACCATTCAGGTTGGATGTTCAAAATGAGCCTGGGCTGACTCACCTTCCTGGCGGTTCCCTAACGCTCACACTGAGCTCCCCGACCTCTCTGTGTTTGGAAGTGTGTGTCCTAAGCTGCTGCTGTTCCATTTCATGCAGGTACCTTTTCATTCCCTGTGGGCTTTTCTCTGCCCACCGTTGCCCACCAGCTGTTTGTCCTGGATCCACACAGTGCTGGAGCTGCTCTAAATTACATCAAAAGTCAGTCACAGATGAAAGGTCAACTGAGAGAGCTCTGCTGCAGCAGTAATGGGCTGCTGCTGTGACCCCACAGGGGTTGTATGATTCATAGGATTCGTGCTCTTGCCAGAAGAGCAAAGAATTGTTCATAAAACCCTGTGTTAGAAAACTGCCCTTCCTGGAAGCACGTGGGCAGGTCTGGGTGTTTGGAAGGATGACAGCCACAGCAATTCCCAGTGCCAGTAACGTTCCCTCTGCCAGCTCTTCCCCATCCCTTTCCTCTGGGGTGGGGGCTGATGTACTTATTATAATCACTGGGTTTAAAGAAAGGGGAGAGGTGTTCAGGTGTCCACTGGTGACCTTGTGCCTGGTCCCGAGGAGCAGGTGGGGCCACTCGTGGCATACAGGAAAAACAAAACAGTTCTTAAACTCCAAAGTTCCTCTCAGAGGAGAGACTGGAGCAGGGACTTCTCAAAATAGAGAACGCTCTGCCCACTGCTTGGGGGAGACAGAGTGAAAACAGAAAGGGTTTATTGGAAAGAGGAATTACAGTGGGAAATGTGTCTCTCTGCATGTACCTCAGGCTCTTGCTGCAGCACCTCCAGCTCTGTGGCTTATGGGGTCCCCGGGGGGGTCCTGGTGACCCCAGTGCCCAGCTGTCCCTGCAGCCTTCGTGGCACCACTCCAGCTGAGGGCTGGACCATGTGTGTGTCCCACCTGGGCACTGGGGCTCCTTCTCCCAAGGGAAAGCAAAACCTCCCTGGGGGATGCACTTGGCCCAGACAGTCCTTATGAAGTGACAGTGATGGAGGACAAACAAGTGACGTGAACATCATCTGTCCTGGGCCCAGACCCTCTGGTTCTTGTCTCTGGGGTCTTTTCTACAGTTTGCTAAATTTTTAATGAGGCCTCTGGTTGCATGGGTGGAATAGGAGCCATTAGAGCGTGTCCCACCGCTGGCACTTGGGAATCCCATCTCTGCCACCAGACCTGCATCAGGAGAGCTGTTCTGAGGATTTCTCACTGATGAGTAATGGTTTTTGAGGGGGCAGTTGTGGAGAATTTATGTGTCTGGAGCTTTGTCTGTTCAATATCATTTTTATACAGTCCTGACTTGTTTGGATTTTGTTGTGTATCTTTGTTAACACACCCAAAACTTCTCTGTGTGTTTCAGAACGTGACCTGTCCCACCACCTCCTTCACAGACCTGGCAGAGATTGTGTCCCGGATCGAGCCCGTGAAGGCCCCTGTGGCAGACGGTGAGTGGGGGGATCTGCTGGTGCTGTGGAAGTGTTGGGAAGGGCAGGGAGCAGGGATGGACGGCTGCTGACTCCTCCTGTGCCTCCTGACTGCTTTCACCTGCTCATGCTCTGACCTGGGACAGCTCAGGGCTGGCTGCCAGTGCCAGTGTCTGCTGGGCACTGCTGGCCATGGTGGGCTGGCCCTGCTGGGCACTGCTGGCCATGGTGGGCTGGCCCTGCTTCCCTCAGAGCCCCTCCTGCAGCTGTGCCCAGGCCAGACCCTCCCTGTCCCCCTCCCACTGCCTCCCCTGGGAGAGGCTGGCAGTGAGATGTCCTTCCATGGGAAGATATCAGCTGTCATCCCATTACTGGTGTGCTCCAGCCTGGTTTCCTGGTGGGAGTAATCCCTGCTCAGGTCTCATCTGAGTGAAATAACGTGTAGCAACTCATGCAGAGATGGGTTTATGTCCCCCTTGGGCTGGGCGTGTCCTTGCTGTGGCTTCGCCCTTGGGTCTGTGCCCTCTGGAGGTGGGAGGAGGCTGAGTTAAAGCTCTGCCTGGGTTAAAGCTCTGCCTGAGTTAAAGCTCTGCCTGAGTTAAAGCTCTGCCTGGGTTAAAGCTCTGCCTGGGTTAAAACTCTTCCCAAAGGATGTTTTCCTTGCTGTCGTGAGTAGGATCAGGAGTGACTCACTGGCTCCATTGCTTTTTGTGTGCTCCTGTTCTGGGAGCACCAGTGAACTAATGAGGAGCAGGTAACAGCTCCTGCACCAGACAGTGCCCTGTGACAACCCTGCCCTGCAGAGCAGCTCCGTGTTTATGCCATAACTGGAGCTCCTGTAACCAAAAGGAGCAGAGCTTTGCAGGCCTGAAACCCCTGAGTGTGTCACCAGGGCTGGAGCTCTTTCTGAACAGTCTCTTCCCCTCCTCCTGATTCTCATTCCTGCAGAGGGAAAGCTAAAGTTAGCAGTGCTCCCATCTGTGACTGTTTGTAGAGATGTCCCTGTGGTAATTTGAAATGCTAATTACAATCATATGCCTTACGAAGAAAATATTAATCAAATGTGGTTGAAGCAGACATTGTGAATAAGAGTGAAGAGATCATGGAATGTGGTTATTTAAAGCTCAGGCACTGAGACCTGCTAAGATTTAACCAGTGCACTGGGACAGATCCTCCTGCTTTAGATAGTTCCTGATTATTCCCCACATTAGGACATCCTGCTTTCTGCTGGGCGAGGCCATGGACACGAGGGGAGAAAAGGGATGTGTCTGAGAAAGCAGATGGGGCACATTTTGGGCTGAGGAGGGGCCGTGCAGGGGCTGCCAGGGACAGGGTGGGATGGGCAGGTGCCACATGTTCCTCGTGGATGCTGAAATCAGTTGGCTGTGGAGAGTCCAGAGGAGGGAGAGGGCGGCAGGAGGGTTGTTCATGTGGGCACTGTGTCATGAAGGATCCTTTGTGTCACACTGTGGGTGACTCACGATTTTGGGTGGCAGAGGCTGTAGTGACATTCCCCTGAGCACACAGTGCCTCCAGGATGGCATTGCCTTGCTCAAGAGGTCCCTGGAGCCACGGGGGAAGCAGATGGAGGGTGACACCTCCCTGGCAGTGGCCTCGTGGCTGTCAGGTGGCTCCCTGTGTGTGCTGGTCAGCCCTTGGTCTGCTCAGGGGGTTGTTGGGGAGGTGGTCTGACAGTTTGTGGCCCACGTGGGTGAGGGGACAGGGTGCTGTGAAACTGCACTGTCAGAGCAGGGGAAAGCTTTGTTCCCCTTGGAAATCCCTTCCTGAGGGCAGTCTCAGACCACAGGCTCTGCCTGTTCTGACAGCACACTGCAGGTGTTGGGCTGGGTGGAGGAATTGTGTCAATAATTTGTTCTAAAGAAATCAAAGAGAAAGGCTCATGTTCTGATGGACAGGGCAGGGTCAGCACAGAGGGTGAGAGGCCTGGAGGGGCAGGGGTGTTGTCTTTGGGGGGAAAAGGGCAGTGGAGTTTCTTCTCCACTCTTGAACAAACTGAGAGCAATGACTAAAACCATCTAAAAGTTAAAAAAGGGGAGCCTGTCCCTCAGGCAGGGCTGAGCAGAGGGACCCAAGTACCCGACAGCCAGGGCACAGCTGTCTGTAAGCACAACAGAAGCTCCTTTCACAGCTGAGCCACTGCAGTGTTTGTGCCCCTGTTCCTGTTCTCCATCCACACGCTCCCCAGCTGGGATCATCCCTCTGCTCAGCTCTAATTGTGTTTCTCACAGCCCTGGCTGTGGCCAGGGGAGCACAGGTGCCATCCCCAAGGGTGGCTCTGTCACATCCCTGGTCACACTCCCACCTGGGAGGGGTTGCTGAGGCCCAGGGTTGGCTGAAGGACATCAAGCACTTGTAGCAATGGGCGTTTGGGGAAAAGGATTTCTGAAAGAGAAGTGTTAATGGTGGTGTCAAATGCCTGGGTTTGCAATACAGCTGAAGCAAGAGACATCCCAAAACCTCTACAGGGACACAGTTATCAGGCACTAGTGCCCCTGAGGCTGTGCTGAGCTCCCAGGTTCCTGATTTACATCCAGGGTTTACAGAGCCCCTCCAGCCACACAGCCCCGTTTGCCTTCAGGTTGGGGGTTGCCTGCAGAAATTAGGCCCATATAAAAGAAATGCCACCAGCTACAGAAGCACAAACCAGCTCTCTGGGTGTGGAAACGTGCCCTTCCTGCAGGGAATATGCTCCCCCTGCTCAGGGCAGGCTCAGGTACCTTTCCATGGTGGAACCTCCTCTTGGCTGGCTCGATTTTGAGCTGTTTGGGTGTTGGTGAGTTGAGCAGAGCAGCAAGGCCTCAGTCCTGCTTGATGCTTCTGGGAGTTTTTGTAGTGCCCAGGAGTGGTCACTGTGAGCCTCAGCCTCAAGCAGGGCCATGGAAGGTGATGTCTGGGGACAGCAGGGTCACCTCCAGCACCCAGAGGTGCTTTGTGAAGGATGTGAGAAGGGACACCCCTCTCTTGGATTTAAAGACCCGTTAAATGCTGAGTAGTGCTGGGGAAATCAAGCAGTCTGGTTTTGATGGCAGTCGGATTTATCGGAGGCGTAAACCCCAAACTCTTGTTTGTTGTGTCTGTTGCTGTTCACACCAGTTTCTCTGGGGTGTTTTATCAAAGATTATCATTAGTGGTTTTCACAGAAACTAACAATGATTCTCTGATCCACAGTAAAAAAAGCATTAAAAATAAAATACAAAAGACCAAATGCCTTTAATCCCAATGTTCTAGCAGTTGGTTGTAGTTACCATGTTGGGAGAAAAGGCTGTGGAACAGACTGTGCTGTTGTCTTCAGCATGGAGCAGATGCTATTGACAGCTCCCTGGAGAAAGACTTAATCAAGGATCCAGTTTAAACATGAGCCACTTTCCTCACCAGTGGGCCGAAACCCAGGTATTGCTTCAGCAGCTCAGAGCACACTGGAATTAACTGAGGAAAGGGGTGGAAGCACTGGTGTCACACAGTGATTTCAGTGCTAACGTTAAAATGTCATTTCCATGTCTTGACTTGCATTCTGAAGAACTGGTGGCCAGAGGAGGAAGGTGCTGCCTGCCAGGGGTTCTGCCCCGCTGCCCACATGTCTCCTGGTGTCACCTGTGGTGGGACAGGCTCTGCAGGGGCTGCTGGTGTGTTGGGGGGTGAACTTGGAGCCACCAATGGGCCCCAGCCCAGCACGTTCACTGAGTGTTGAGTTGCTGTGGGGAGTCAGCCCTGCCAGCAGGGAGAGTCACAGAACCACAGCCTGGTTTGGGTTGGGAGGGACCTTAAAGCTCATCTCACTCCCACCCCCTGCCAGGGGCAGGGACACCTTCCACTAGCACAGCTTGCTCCAACCTGGCCTTGGACACTTCCAGGGATGGAGCAGCCACAGCTCCTCTGGGCAACCTGTGCCAGGGCCTCCCCACCCTCACAGGGAAGAATTTCTCCCCAATATCTAACCCTGCCCTCCTTCATCTTAAGGCCATTCTCCCTTGTCCTGTCACTCCATGCCCTTGTGGGGTACTGCTCCTGCTGCCTGTTTTACAGACCCTCCTGGTGATCTCCAGGTGCTGGGAGAGGCATTGGCTCTGCCCTGATGTGTCTCCTTCCTTGGAAGTGGCTTGGTGGTGTGTCCTGCTGCTGTGCACAGCTCCTGAGCTTCCCTAAGTTATGTGAATCTGCTGGAGGAAGGGAGTGTAAATGTTACTGTCCCCTGTGGGATTGTGAAATTGTGACTGTGACAGACACGTAATTTTTCTGCCCCAGGAATTCTGCAGCACGTAATTATTCTGCTCCCCCTGTGCCTGGGACCCCTGCTTGCAGCCAGTGTGTGTCCAGGGGAGCTTGGACTGGCAGCTCAAAGGCTTCTGAAGGTGTTCCCAGGTCTGGTTGGACTGAGGGGTGGGACACAGCAGCTGAGCTGTGAGGGGCACTCAGCAGGGAGCACCTCCCCACTGCCCGTGCTTGTGTCCCTTGGGCTGGGCAGCCAGTGCCCACCAGAATGACATGGACCAGGTGCTGCTCTTGCTGGGGGTCCCTTGGATTCTGGGGGGCTCTGAGACACCAGTTCACACAGAGGACATGGTTTATTTTTGTGGCTGGAGAGCTGAGCTCTGTGTTTGAGCAGTCCCAGTTCACTGAGCTGCCAGTTTTCTCACCTGCCCCGGTGCTCAGGGGAGGCAAGGGTTCCTCTCCCAGTCTTCTCTGCCTGCCAGTTAAACCCAGTTCTTTTTCTCTCCTCTCTCTTTAGACGAGTCAGACTACCAGACTGAGTACGAGGAAGAAATCCTGGACAACCAGAAGGATGATTATCTGGATTTCATAAGCAACCAGGCTGAAGAAGACTCTGACTCGGTACGAACTGCCCTGGGAACAGGGAGTGCCTGGTCATTGCTGAGCCCTGGGTGAACAGTGTGAGGTGGAGGTGTTGGGAAGGATGCTGAGAGAAGCACCTGGGAGGGACTGGCTGGCAGGACTGTGCAGAAATGAGTTTGCTTGTTGTTAGTACAGACACTGAGTGGCACATGCTCACCCTGCTCGGGCCAGTGGTGCCACAGTGGTGCTGCCTGTGGCAAAACCTGCCCACAGTTAAATCCTGGCCCTGCAGCTCTGTGGGTTTGCTCTTGAGGTGAGTCAGGGCTGGAGAGGCTGAGGGAGCTGCTTCCTGCAGCTGGGAGAGAGGAGCTGAAGGGAGGATCTGCCAGCTGTCTGGAGCTGCCTGAGGGTGGGTATGGAGGAGGTCGTGGAAGAAGAAGAGATGCCCAGCAAAAAGCCAAGAGGTGACAGGCACAACCTGTGCTAAAGGAAACCCTCCCTGGCTTTGGGAAATCCTGCCCTGTACACACAGCTGAGATCCACCAAGGACTGTGCAGGGAGAAGGTGGAAAACCCATCCTTGTAGATGCATGAAAAGCAAATTGATGCCCTGAAGAACCCTGGCAGCACCAGAGTGAGCCCTGCTTAGAGCAGACAGGTGGATTGTACCCTCCAGGGGTCCCTTCCAGCCACTGTGGTTTGATTCTGTGGGACAGCAGGTCCATCCCAAGGCAAACCTGCACTGTGAGAGCAGGTGTGACCCCCAGCCCGAGCAGCAGAGCTCAGCCAGGTCACATCCCTGCTGCTCTGACTGTGGCCAGAGGGTTTGAAAGGTGAAGCTGCCTGTCCTGCTGGGCACAAACAGCTTCTCAGTGGCAGCACATGGATGGTTTGGGAAAGTGCCCATGTGAGGGTGTAAAAAGGCTCCGGTGTTCTGAGTGAGGAGCTGGAATGATGGTTTTGTTTGCTGGGTTTATCTGAGCTGGTGGAGGGGAAGAGGATGGATTTTATCTGGCTCAGAGAGGATGCTGAAGGGTTAATTTGTGCTTTCTTTCCCTCTTTTCCCTCAGGATGAAGACATGCAGCTGAGGAAGCGAAGGACTGTGCCCAGCATGGAGGGCCAGGCGAGCAGCACGGGGGAGCCAGGATAGAGCACGGGAGGCTCAGAGCTGCACCCCATCCTACAGCAGCTGTATTTATTTATTTAATACTTCACAAAACCAAAACAACGCCTACATGAAACGAAGCAAGAGCTCAGCCTTCCCCAGCCAGGGCCGGGCTCAGCTGCTGGCACAAAGCACAGCCCGTGCTGTGCCCGGATCCCTTTGGAGCTCCGGAGAGGGGCGGCTGCCCTGGGCATCTCCTTCCTACGGGTGCCAGGAGCAGGTTATTGATCCCTGAGGCTGGCAGGGGGGCAGGGGGGCAGTTCAAAGCTGCCTTGGTTTTTGCTGCTGTGTTTTAGTCGCTGTTTTTCCTGCGGAGGCCCCAGGAAGGCCGGGGTGTGTCCCCTCCGTGTGCCGAGAAGGCCCCGAGCAGCAGCACTGCAGAAGGGAGGGGTTTGTGGGTCAAAGCGTTGCTTTCTTTTCATACGAATCAGGTAACTCTGTAATTAACTCCTCAGTGACTGCCAGCCACGTACTCGTGAGCAGTGCTCTGACAGGAGCAAATCTGAATGTATTTTCACTTGAAATCTAAACCTAAGAAATGATTGTGAGGGGTGGCCACGGAGCTGCATCCTCGAGTCACCGGCAGAACATTTACTGATGGATCATGGAACTGACACTTCTGGGCAACTCTGGAATCACCACTTGACTGTATTTGCCCTGTGAAATAAAGTTATTTTGCTGGATTGAAATGTCTCTGTGGTTCTTTGTCTTGGGTCCTAAATGAGAAAGTTGTCAGCAAGTAAGAGCCCAACTTTTCTTTGCTATATCAAAGAAATGTGCATGGTTTCCAGTTCCTCACCCCAGCAGGAGTCACTCCAGGTATTGTCAAGTGCTGGGAAGAAATCTCCAGTGCTCTGTCCCCAGGGCTGGAGCAGTTGGTGGGATTTGGACCCTGTTCAGACATCCCCTGGTGCTTGCTCTGCCTGTCTCACATCTGTCGTTGCCAGTGGCTGCACTTGGCTGGATATCCAAGCTGATTCCTGCTTTATGTAAACTCCTGCTCAGCACAAGCTCTAGGTGCTGTTGCCTTGAAGGGATTTGTCATCCAACCAGAGCACTGAAGGCACTCCTCAAAGCTGCCTCCTTCCCTGAGCTCTCTGATATCAGTGTGAGCTGCTGGCGATGCCTCCAGGCATGACCAGGGCTGGGCAGCACCTTGAGACCAGAAACGTGTCTGGTGGCACCACCAAGGACTGTGGTGGTTGTAAATGCTGAGAATTGTGACCTCTTCTCTGCATTTAACCTTCTCTCTTTTCCTGGTACAGGCTTCTCCTTCTCTACCCGCCCTTCATCATGTTTTCCTCTGTCAGAATCCCAGACTGGTTTGATTTGGAAAGGACCTTAAAGCTTGTCCAGTTCCACCCCCTGCCATGGGCAGGGACACCTTCCACTAGACCATGTTGCTCCAAGCCCTGTCCAACCTGGCCTTGGACACTTCCAGGGATGGAGCATGTCCATGAATGTGCAGCCTGTGCCCAGGGAGCAGTTCCTCTCAAACAAAATGGTATTTTCAAGTGTCAGAGCCCCAGGTGAGTGTTTTGTTCCCAGAGGGACTCCAGCCCCCTCCTCAGTGACACTACCCAGCCTGGCTGCACCTCTGGCTGGCCCCTGGCCCATCCAGAAGCAATGGAAGCAGTTGGAAACCTTCCCTGCAAGGATCATCCAGGTCTCTGATGCAGATTTTGGTTGTACTGAGTATGTTGCAGTTGCTGGAGGCTGTTCCCTGCTATTGCAAAGAATTAATTCTCACAAAGAAAACTTAAAATTGGCTTCAGAAGTGGAGGCAGAACAGCCAGGGGCTTCTGTGGAGGTACAGGCTGCCTGTGGAGCTGGAGAGATTGAATTTCTGCTGGGCTGGTTCCTGGGGGGAGGTGCTGGGCAAACACCTCGTGCAGCAGCAGCAGCACAGTTCAGAGCTTTGTTTTCTGACAAAACCAGATGTGAGGTCCTTCAATGTCTGTATTTGAAGGCGGTTACAGTCCAGGAACCTTTCCCTGGAAAATGGTGAATGGGTCTGGAGTACAGACTAACTCCAGAGATGACTGAGCTCCTCTGGCTGCCCTCACTGAGCCCATCATGGGCCATCTGCCTCCTGAGGATACAGTTAAAACCAAAAGGGCCTTCAGCAGAGGTTGAATCAAACCTGCTGTAGATGGAGAGACTTTGTCACACACCTGTGCTGTGACAAAGTGACAAAGTGGCCGATTCCATGTGTTCCCTGTGCCTGGCTGCCGAGGGCATCCCCCAGCCTGGGGCAGGATGGGCTCCACGGGGTATGGGCCAGAAGGATGAGGGGTCTGCCAACCTGAACCCAACTGCCTTGCTCCAGGAGAGCTCTTCCCCTCTGTTCAAACAGGTAATTCATTTCCAAGCTGTGTAGTTTCACTCCAAACCTCCTGGCAGCCAGGGGTACTCCTGGAGCCTGGGTGGGAGCTGCTGGGCTCATTGAAGGAGTAGCAGAAAACAGACAAATACTGGGCTCCTGGGTGTGCTAATTAGAGCCTCTGCATTTGCATTATGCCCTGTGCCACAGGGAAATGGCACTTAGTTGAGATGTATGAAGACAGAAGACAAACCTCTGATGTGAGACTGAAAGTCTCTTCTGAATAACTGATCACGTCTTTCCTCCGTAGCTGAGCCCTGGACATTAAACCAATCTGTTCTTCCGTGCCCAGGAATGTAAACCAGTAATGGTACAAATCTAAAAGCCAAATTGTTTTTCCACCTTGCTTTGCTGCTGGCTGTGTCCTGCCCAGCTGCCTGGCCAGGCAAGGCAGCGTCCCCGCGGTGGGTCAGCCCCGTGCTGCTCTTACACCCGGGGGCACCCAAGGGATCATCTGAGCAATTCCACATCTGGAGGGTTTAATCAGTCCCTGCCTGCTTGGACACCAGCCCTGTGCTGAGGAGTGGGTGCTGTGTCACCCCTTTGTCCCCAGGCTCTGCAGTGAGGGTCCCATTGTGGCTTTGCTGGAAATGCAGCAAGAGGAGGGGGGTTGGAAGAGCCCAGTCCCAGGTCTCCTGGCCCAGGTCACCATCCTGCCAGGCCAGGTGCTGACCTTGGCTGGAACCCACTCTGCAGTTTCTTCACAGCTGTGTGACATCCCCAAAAAGGTGAAGTGTGACCAGAAGCTGGATGAATTTGGCTTTGCTGGAGGAGACAAAACAGCTGCTGAGGCCTGAAGGCTTCAGCACAGGTGAAGAGGACATGGAGCTTGTTCCCATGACAAACCTGATGCCAGGCAAGGCCAGCCCTGAGGTAGCAGGATCAGAGCAATGTCCTGAGGAGCTGTGGCCATGAGCAGTAACTGCAGTGGGAATGTTCCCCTCACACCTATTGCTGACACGTCTGGTGGTTGCTCATTGCTGGGGGTGAAGCCTCGACTGAGCTTTCAGAAACACGTCCCAGGTGGATTTGCAGCAGATGGATCCAGCCCCCATCCTGCTGCGGGGCCTGGGCTGAGCCCCCCAGGCAGCTGGTGTGGGCAGAGGAGTGAGAAACACCCCCAGCACAGCCTGTGCTGCTCGAGGGATCTGTCATGGGGGGACAGACCTGCCCTGAGGGGGGATTTGGGAACCAGGTCCCCATTGGAGAGGGGATGCTGAGGAGGGGGGAGGGTGTTTGGAGGAAGATAGTTTGCAGGACTCCAACTCCAGCCTGGAGAGGGGACACGTAGCCTGGCTCTCCTGGAGCCAGTGGCAGTGACACTCCTGTGTCACAGGGTGACCTTCTGCAGACAGCTCAGTGCAAGGAACAAACTTACTGAGTGACTTGATCAGCGCAGCCACACGAGCTGTGGAGCTCCCAGAGAAGTTCCAGTGGGGTTTGGGATGAAGAACAAACATGTGGCAGCTGGAAGCACCTGTCCAAAACCCCCAGGAAGCCCTGCCTGGGCAGGGGGAGAGCTTTGATCTCATGGAGTGGGGCTCTGGCTCGTGCCCAGCTGTTGGTGACAGCTCCTGCTGCTCCTTCTCACATTTCTGACTCTGTGTGGGGTCGTGTCTGTGCAGCCCCTCCAGGCTCTGCTCTGGCTCTGGGGGCCCCTGCAATGCTCCTTCCCTGGCAGACGTCATTCCCCTGTGTGTCATTCCAAAATTAATCCCCTCTCATTTGATGGTGCTCCCTGACCTCCCCCAGGAGTGACTTTCCCCGAGTGCCACCCCAGGGCTGTGTTTGAGCTGTCAGGAGGTGGAGGTTTGGCTGTGGGTTTCATTTATTGGCGCTGTAGGAGCTGGTAGGAAAACCAGCAAACAAGGAATATACAGGAAATATTCTCCCCTCCCTCCAGGGCTCCGCGTGCCCACACCGGCACCCACTGGTGCCCACAATCCCGAGGGCCCTTCCAACACAGGTCCCAGGGCACAAGGTTTCACTGTGGGACCAGGGCAGGAGGCACTGAGGTTGGGAAGGTGTTGTTTGTTTGATGAATGGATTTCGGGATGTGGCTTTTGCTGGCACTGACTCCCATAAATATCCCTTCTTGGCTGATGGCTGTTTCCATTCCCAGTGGGACTGGTGGGGTTTGTGTCCACGCTCCTTGTCCATGTCCCTTCCTCAGGTCACAGAGGGTCTGACCCCCTTTATCCCAGTGGCCTTAATTTGGGCTTTGGTATAAACAGTGCTGAAAGGAGCTGGCAGAGCATCCACACTTGCACCTGCATCCCACTCTTGGGAGCTGCTTTGGGAAACAGGGATAGAGCCCAACTGCCTGGGGACACTGGGAGTGAAAGCTGGGAATGCTGGTGTGTCCAGCTTCCTGCAGCCTGGGGACATCCATGCTGGGCTAGTCAGCACTGCCAGATCCCCTCCCTTACTGATATCAAGGGTTTTGGGGAAACTGTGGCACCAGCAAAAAAAAAAAAAAAAAGAAGGCAATAAAAGCATTTGCCTGTTGTTTTTAAAAAATAATAAGTAAAAGCAAAACCAAAGCTGTATTAACTCGTCCATCCTGGCTTTAGAAGACATCATAATACATCTAAATAAGTATGGGCCAGGGTTGTTCCTGGAGGTCCCTTGCCGGAGGCAGGAGCAGCCTGAGCAGTGTTCTGAGTGCTGGGAAGGCACCTGTGCCCTGCACAAACGTGGCATTTTCAGGGGCAGAGCCACCATCACCACTCACCAGCACCAGCAGGGACGGCTTTTAATTAAATCTCACACCATCAAGGGTTGTGGACAGGAGCGCATTTCCCATCAGGAAGCAGCTCCAGGGAGTCCAGCCCTGGAAATGCAGAGGTTTATCCAGAGGATCCATCGTGGCCTCCAGACAGACTGTGCTGAGCCCAAGCCCTCCTGGGGGGCACAGACACCCCTGGCACTGGCAGGAGTTGGTACTGGTGAGGTACAAATACCAAGGATGCTGCTGGAAGCACTTCTTTTTGGGAATTTGCCCCTGGCAGTGGATGTGTGGGGGAGGGAGGTGCAGCAGCGCTGCCGTCCTGGCGGGGCCGGGCTCAGCTCTGCAGCACTCACGAGGTGGGTAATCTGGGATCAGAGAGAACACCAAATGTGCATTAATTTTAAATGTACCGTAAACGACACGTTTTTCCCTTGAAGAAGGCACATTAGATGTGATGCACAGCCCCAGGGGAATGTGTGAGTGCGGCTGGTGCAGCTCGAGCAGCCCTGACCTGCCTGTGCACCCCGGGCAGGGTGGAGAGCCCGGAGCTGTGCCTGCGCTTGAGCACGTGGCTG